CCTTCTCCTCGCAAGGGTTTGAGCGTGGAAGAAGGACGTATTCCGGTCTCCAAACCTCACCCACTTCTCTCTAGATTTCTGAAACCATAAAAACTCCTCCTGAAGACAAGTTTCATCTAACTCCACTTGAATGGCCTTTTCTAAACGCGACAGACTCTCCGACTCCCCTAACTCCAATTGTAGTTGAACCCCTTTGAGACGTCTTTGCAGAGCCTTTTTTCTAGTAATGATATTCCCGAACACCTCGTGATTAAACTTGGTGGCATCCACACGAACAGCTTGTAAACCACTAGCAAGGGTCGGAGTACTCCGGCACCACGCCTCCCTAACAACTCGCTCAAAATCCTTATGGGTGGCCCAAGCAGCTTGGAACCGAAAGGGTCGATCATGAGAATTTGCCCGTGAGCCTTCCCGCCGCAGTAGGAGAGGGCAATGATCAGAGTAGACCCTACACAGATTCTCAACATATGCTTCTGGAAACATTTCTTGCCATGCAACATTACACACTGCACGATCCAACCGCTTCGCCAGCACAACCCCACGTTGATTACGATACCACGTAAAACGGAGACCCTTGGCCCCCATGTCAAGCATATTACAATCATTCAAAACCTCCAGAAACTGAGAAGCCCTTGATACCGAGAAGTGCCCGCCCCTACACTCCGTTGACAACATAATTTCATTAAAGTCCCCAAGCACTAGCCATGGCGACGTAACCCGACCTCCCAACTCCCGAAGATGAGCCCAAACCTGTTGTTTGAGGACCACCCGAGGATTCGCATAAACTGCCGTACACACCCAACTCTTCCTTCCTTCAACCACCTTAAACGAGATAGCCTGAGGGTGAGAGGCAAAGTCAGATATGTTAGCAGAGCACGATCCCGCCATCAGAACCCAAATACCTCCGGAATGCCCTATAGCCTCCACGCTATAACACAACGTATAGTCCAACTTCCTCCAAAAGGATTCCACCGAGGAAAATTGGCAGTGAGTTTCCAAAACAATAAAAAAAGACGGGTGGTGGAGCCTTACCAACTCCGAGACCCTCCTCTTACCTTTGGCATTAACCGCCCCTCTAATGTTCCAACTCAAAATGTTAAAATTTGTAGTCATTAATAACAACAAGATACGACAACACTCAAACCATCATGGTCTCCAAAGGCTGGTCATACTGCATGAAATCATTCGTCCCCAGAATCTCACGTACGGTGTCCTCGGAGTCATTGTGTACGGTGATTGTGCACCCCGTTTGAAGCCCACTGGACTCTGTACACTGCATTCCCTCCTGCACAATGTGTGCGTCACCTAGATGAGGCCTATTGTGCGTGTGTCGGTCCTGAAGAGCACTCGAGGCTGCTGACGCGGACGCACTACCTGGAATGATCCGTGGTTGAGCACTTGAATCCCCCCCTCTGCTGCGTTTCTTTCTATCTAACATGGGACCCATACAGTTATCATTCGTAATCACCCCGTGGCCCCCATCAGTAACTAATGAGGCCAATGCATGGCCCTGTTCACGTGGGGACTCTCTCGCCACATGTGTGCTTTTAACACCTGCACGTGTTTCTGCCAAATTGTGGGCTCCCCTCTTCGAGTAACTTGGCACATTATAATGTTGCTCCGTGATTACCTCAATCCCATTGTGAGCGGAAGATCTGCCCTTGCTCAACGGTTTCCCGAGATTCGATTTTCGATTCCTCCGTTTCACAATTAACCAATCTCCATGCGGTTCAGGCGCGATTGCCCCTCTGACACGCGGAGCAGATTGCTCACCTGTTGGAACAGCAGAACCCTCACCATGCAGTGGATCCCTTGGCTTCTGCTCCGTATTTTCCTTCTCACCCATGCCAGTTACCGTTGACTCAGACCTAACGGCATGCGGGCAATTCCGTAGAACATGCCCATAGCAGCCGCACGAGGAGCACAACTAGTGTAGTCCCTCATATTCCACCTTATACCACACACCATTGAGGAAAAATCTTCCTACGACTGGTTCCTCCAAATTAATCTCGACACAGACCCGTGCAAACCTGCCCCGAGTCATGTTCAGGGTATTAAGGTCCACCTTAACTGGTTTTCCTATGGCTGAGGCAATTGTTAAGAGAACACTCTCATCATAGAACATAACTCCTAAACCTGAAAACCGGATCCAGACGAGAGTACTGTCGACCTTTGTTGCAGACGCAACGAACTCCGGGGACCATGGTCTCACAATCAGATAGTGATCGAAGAGCATCCACGGGCCCCGTGCATGACCCGATCCCTATCTGCTTCCAGATCAAACTTCACCATGAAATACCCATTTGAGACGTCCAACAGTTCAAAACCTCCTTGAACCTTCCACAAAGCAGGCAGTCGGTCCCGCAGGGTTAGGAACCCCACCTTTCTCCCTAGCAGCTTGATCATTAGACACTGTTCTCATGGCTCACACAATTGTTTAAGGGTGGGCGCCGTAATGCTAAATTTGGGTAGCAACCGATCACCACCCTCAAACTCCAACGTTATCGCCCCCTCTTTAATGAGATCTCGAACAGCCGGCCGCGTAGCCGGAGCACCCAGTACCTTCTCCTTAAAGGTCATTTTCTGACTCATCTTAAGACTCCCGACTCCCCCATTCGGCGGCTCCGATGGTGGTTGACTCCCCATAGACATGCCCCAAATAGATAAAATTGTTACTTAGCTAACATTAATTGATTATTCCATATTGAAATAATTTTTAAAAAAACTTCCATTTACTAAAAGAAAATTTTATTTTAATTTATGTGCAAAGTTCATTATAACAAATGATTATTCATAAACTTTGTGAATCAAATAATATTAGAAGTAGTATCGACTACTCAACTACATAAATTATAAATTATCATGTATATAAAAAAATCTTTTTTATCATGCAACTTTTCAAAATCATATATAACCACAATATTTTTATTTTGTATTTTAATATAAAAAAACAATACAAAGTTTTTGACATATAAAACTATGACATAAACCTATATAACATTTTTCATTTTCTACGAAACACTAATATTACTAAAATTAAAACTTAAAAAAAAGTCATAACCTAAAGAAGAAAGCTTCACTACATATATACATATAGAAGTGTGGATGAGAATAAAGCAAAACATTAAATAAAAGCCTATAAAAAAAATTGAAACCTAAAACTAAGATTTTAGTATCCCATTTTAATATATTAATAAGCAATTACTCATATACGTGGAATTGTGATTAAAAAAAATCACGTAAGATGAAAAATAAATAAGAACTTGTAACAGAAACGAACATTAAATGAATGGTATTAAATTTAGAAATGTGCTACAGTTAGTAGTGTGATACACGAGATGTTATACAACAGAATGTTGGTGATTTTCTGAATACTTCACTACTAGAAAAGTATCATTTTCTTGAAAAAAAATATTTACAGAAATTTTTTACAAATTTTTTTAAAACAGATATTTGCAGAAATATTTTGCGGATTTATTTGTGAAAAATAATTTATAAATATTTCTTACAAATTATGCTACAATTTTAATAATTATAGAAATTTTTTTCTATGGTAAAAATTTACAAAAAATATTGTAAGAATTTTATTTTGTTTCTTGCATATTTTCTTGCAAAAATAAATTCGCAAGTAATGTGTTTACTAAATGGTAGAAAAATTTTACAGGTAACTTTTCCTGCAAATTTTAACCCGCAAGAAAAATAAAAAATATTTAAATTTATAAGTTTAATATTTTAAAAAAACTTCAAGTCCCACATAGATTAAAAATAAAACAATTAAAGAGTATATAAGTTGGGGTAACACTTACCTTACAAGTTGATTTGTATGGTTGAGTGTTAGGCTTATAATCTACAATCTTAGAATTTAAAAGATTATGTATCACATGTTAGAGGCATGGAAACAAATACTTCGGATGAATTCATTGTGAGCATTTGAAAGTTGAAGAATTATTGATAAAATTTATAGTAATTTCTTTAATTTTTTTGTAAAACATATTCCTGCAAAATTTCTTGCCAAAAAATTCGTAGGAAATTTTTTTACGAATTTTCCTGTAAATTTTTTTTTTGTAGGAAACTTTCCTGTAAATTTCTTTTTGCAGGAAACTTTCCTACGAATTTTTTTCGCAAGAAGTTTTGCAAGAAAATTTCCTGCAAATTTTAAAATTCGCAAAAATATATTATCCACAAAAGTATTACCTACAGATAAAATCTTGTAAAAAAATTTGTAAGAACAACGTTTTTATATTTCCAAGTTTTTATCAACCTTGAGTAATTTTTTTTTTATCTTTATCAATTTTTTTAATTGAATATATTTATTTAATAATGTATAAAATCATAAACACGTGGAAGCCATACGACAAGAGACGTGCAGCAATAATGTTTGAAATCGGAGGTACAGGCTGTGCACCACCAATAATTATAGGGAGTTGTTACGGTATCCTTAAAGATCGAGAGGTTTCAATACATTTTTCTATGTAAACTCATAAAAAATTTTTAAAAATTAATTTAATTATAAAATGAATAATCCAAATTATATTTATAAAATAAAAAGTAAGATAAAATTATAGAAATTAAAATTATAAAATTTCAATAATATTATAAAATATTAAAAAAAAGTAAAAAAATTAATAAATAGTAGAAATAAAAAATTATTAAAATTACAATATAAAAATTCAAAAATTTAAGACAAAAATACAAAAAATATACTTAAAAAATTATTAAAATTAAAATATAGAAATTCAAAAATTTTAAGTGAAAAGATAAAAATATAGTTAAAAATTATTAAAATTAAACTATTTAAATATATAATAATATTATTACAAATAAATTAAAATATATAAAATAAAAATAAAATGAATAAATAATTATAAAATTGAAAGAATAAAATATCATAAATATTATTTAAATAAATTACTAAAAATATAAAATATAAAAGAATGTACCGGTACCCTCTCAAATAAGTGGTACCAGAGAATTTCTCTATATTATATAAAAGACATTCTATGTGTTGCCTTCTGTCTCAATATTTTCTGCTGCAATCTTTGCTTTACTACGAAACAACTTGAAACCATGGAACCAGCTTCTCTTACTGTGCCCTTTGTCCAAGAAATTGCAAAGGAGGCACTCACGAGTGTTCCAGAGCGTTATGTTCGTCCATATCATGAGCGACCAATATTATCCACCACTACTCCTTTACCACAAATTCCTGTCATTGACCTAAGCAAATTGTTGTCTCAAGATCTCAAGGGACCCGAACTGGAGATGCTCCACTGTGCCTGCAAAGAGTGGGGTTTCTTTCAGGTTTTTCATCATTATCTACTTACTTTCTTCTTCTTTAATTTAGCTTTCTCTGCTTCAGCCCTCTTTTCATAATTAACTAAATCTTCATCCGATTGACATATTTTAGAAAGAATTATGGATATTCCTTCAACATAGCATATAATTTTTATGTGTACGCATGGCAATTAATGATCCTACTTTGATAAGTGACTTTATTAGTATGCACCAATGGCACACAAAGTTACAAAGTTATTAAAAAAATAATCTATACAAAAAAAATTTATATGTTTTTAATTCCTATGAAAAAAGTTAATTATGTTTTTTTTCTATAAATAAAATAATTTTTGCATTTTATTTTCTTAAAATGAATTGTTTTTATAATATCTTATTTTTAGAAATGTATTATATTTTTTTTTTGTAACATACAACTGTTTTCTTTAACCGAAATGTGTTATGTGTGATTCCTAAATATACTTCAAAGACTACATCTTATTATAGGGTATAAGTGAGTATGGTTAGAAAGCTTTTCGATAGATGTATTACTCGACTAATTAAAATTCAATGAGCATATGAAAGCTATAACATCACATATAAAACAATCATTTTGGCCAAATTATCAATGACTAATATGAAAGCTTCGACAGTTGATTAATCATGGAGTGAGCATTTCATTGGTGGAAAATGTGAAGATTGGTGCTCAAGAACTCTTTAATCTTCCAATCGAAGAAAAGAAGAAGTTTGCACAGAGAGAAGGAGATGTGGAGGGATATGGTCAACTCTTTGTCGTTAATGAGGATCAAAAACTTGATTGGGCAGATATGTTTTACATGTTCACTTTGCCACCAGAGAAGAGGAAACCTCACTTACTCCCAAAATTCCCCTCGTCATTTAGGTACTTCTGAACTACTTCCCATTCTCTCTCACTTTTCCTCTCTGTTTTTGTTTTCTCCATCATAACTATGATTATCACTACTTGAGTCTTCTTGTATATGGCTATAAACCTTAGATTTCTTCTTCCTTATTAGATCCTTTCTATATTATTCTAATTTGACTTCGTAAAAGTTTGGCAATTCGCATCCAGTAAATATATTTTCTTTAAAACCAAATAATATATATATATATATGTTCATCATTAAGGTTGGAGAGTACTTGAAGGCAAGCATGTGTGTGTTCTTTTGTTAATCAATAAAAAAAGATACAACGTTAACAATAAATATGAGATTTAAGCTTCCATGCATTTACTCTGACGTATCACTGGGTATAGAAGTTTGGATAACGTAACTGGATTTTGCTGCTAATTAAAACATATTTGTTGTGTTCGTTAATTTGGCCTGATATGTTCATTTGGTTGTAGAGATGATTTAGAGACCTATATTGGTGAAATGAATAAACTTTGTATCCAAATCCTTAACCTAATGGCAAATGCCTTAGAAGTGGACACCGCGGAAATGACAGAGGGATTTGAACCAGGGGCTCAATCAATGAGGATAAATTATTATCCTCCTTGTCCCAAACCAGACCTAGTGTTGGGACTCAATCCTCATTCTGATGCTGGAGTTCTCACCATCCTTCTCCAAGCAAATGAAGTGGAAGGTCTTCAAATAAAAAAAGATGGTCAATGGATTCCTGTCAAACCCCTCTCTAATGCCTTCATCGTTAACATTGGAGACATCCTGGAAGTAAGCATTTAATTTGTTATTTTGTCGTTTAGATTAGCATAATAACTATTGTTTATAGTTTAGCTACATCATCATCATAAAATAGAGTGTGCCCAATGCCCATATAAAAAAAAATCTTAAATTGCAATATTTTTCTTACTTTTGGCCATTTATAATTCATACAAAATCTATAATTTTGGCAGATTACAACGAACGGAATTTATCGAAGCATTGAACATCGAGTAAGAGTTAATACCGAGAAAGAGAGGCTTTCTATAGCCACGTTTAACCTTCCAAGTATGGAATCAATTTTTGGTCCAGCACCGAGCCTTGTTACTCCAGAAAAACCAGCATTGTTCAGAAGAACTAGTTACGCAGAATACTACAGAGGCTTCTTGTCACGAGAACTTCGCGGGAAATCATTCCTCGACGGCATGAGGATTAATTGACTTTTATATGTGTAATAATAAATACTAAGCATCAAGTCATGCATACATGATACCAAGAGGTATTCGTAATTGTTAGATATTTGTTTTTGGACTGCACGTGTCATCTTTATTTGTTTTTATCTCTTCCTTCTGGTCAAAGTCGCTGTTTCTAAACTTTAGGCCAAAGTATTTCAGTTTTATCATAGTTAGTTTTTTTGTTACTGCAAGTATTATAAATGTATTGTAATTGGCAGTCGAATAAAGTGAATTTCTACGATCTATTTCATTCCAATTTATATATTCTTCCTTTTCCAGTATTTTATTTTTCTCTCCTTTTGCTACTGCTTTTATTCCTTAAAAACAACAATAACTCAGTTTAACGGTTTTAGGGTAAAGTTTATTCAATATAATCCTAAAAATAAAATGTGGTTTGATGTTAGATTATTATTTTTTTCATATGATGATTATAATTCTATTCCGCTTAATCTGGCATATTTTAAAGGTAAAATAATATTTTTGATTATAAAACAAAGAGATCGAAATATAGTTTTTGGTTAAAAAATATACAAGTGTTCATCATTTCAGTTAACTAATTTTGGTGTTGTCTTTTTTTCATTGGTTTATTTTTTAAAACATTGGTTAAATGACATTAAAAAGCATGAATTGGAAAAGAATAAGTAAAACTTGATTTACAAGAAGAATAACAAGGTTTATTTCGCCAACGAAATAACTAGTTAATTTTCTAATTGATGTAACCAATATGTAACAATACAAGTGCAATAGACCAAATGGGTTAGAGAAAAATCTAAGGATTTAGGCACTACAAGATTTAAATTTTGATACAAAGAGAAATTTAAGGAGTGAGTATTATTATGGACAAGGAATATTCAAAAATAAAGTATGGTAGATGTAAAATGGGTTAGCCATATGTTTAGCCTTAAAATTAATGGTTGCACATCAATAACATCGGTCTTCAACTTTATGCACCATAAGTAAGATCAAAATCATTTATGAAAGAGAAGTTTGGGAAGATTCGGAGGGATTGGTTCTAGGAGGTCCACGAGAGGAAATATTCTCTTAGATGGTGATCTAAATGGACATGTTGGTAGGGAGACAAGGCAACTAACATGAACTTATGATGATTTTGCTTTTGGAGAATTCAATGAGAAAGGATAATCTTTTATTGATTTCTCTATAGCTTATGATTTCATGATTATGAATATTTGTTTCAAGAAGTAGGAAGAACTTATTGATTTCTCTATCCTTGAATTCTGTTTTTTTTTTTTGTAAAAAGTGTTGACAAAAAGAAATTTTTAGTTGAACAAAGAATTCTTTTTTGTTGATAAAAAGAATTTTTAAGGATTGAAAGGCGACTTCAAAAGAAAGATGTCTTATTACGCAATATAGGATATTGATTCTTAATATTTGTTTTAGGAGACAAACAAAAAAAAAAAATCATGAATCCAAGAATCAAGAATCAAGTAGTGGTAGCTTAAATGAGAATTGGAAAGAAGAATTGGATTTGAGAACAATAAGAACTTCCTCTTTTTGATCTTGTTTCTAGGCTTCCTCCTCTATATGCAGTCGAGTAATCAAACTCTCCAAAGAGAATTCTTTTGTTTTATGCTTTAAAGTATTCTTAAAATCTTTCCAACTTGGAGGTAACTTATCAATTATTAAAACCATTAATTGGGAATTGTTCATCTAAAACTAACTATACCTTCAAAGATGATTTCATGATCAACAATATTTTGGAGTTCATGAGACCGATCGAGCTTCAACAGATTTTTCATTTGTCATTTGATATTGAGGTAGTGACTAACATATTTCTTTGATCTAGCTTTTTTGGTATCATATTTTTTCTACAATGCCTCCCAAACTTCCATGGTTGTGGTATTATTATGTACTTTTGTAATCATAAAGATCATTAGATTATTATATAAACAATTTAAAATAAAAAAGGACAACATTTTTTTTTTATTTCCATCTCTTAAAATGTGCGCCTTCAAATGCGAATGGTTTCTTGATACCAACAGAAAGTGTCGTGCTAGATATGCATGGCAGAAAAAGAAACATCTTAAAATTGTTGTATCGAATACGAAAAAAAAATAGGACCGAGACATCGACTAGGTCTTCTCTTCAGGACATTTCGTAGCTTTGCCTGAATTGTACAACAAATTAACAACTTTATCCTCCCCAAAACCCTCCAGAAAGAGTCAAGATCCTATTTGCACATAAAAAGAGAACCCAACAAACATACGTCACACAAAGCTCAAAAAATTGCTCGAGAACCACTAAAACAAACTCAAATATTTTATTTTAAAATATTTAATGATCCCACTAAATTAAAACATGGTAAGAAATTAATCTCCACTAACATCTAAAAAATGTCATTATAAATATAATATATACAAATATAAATTTATTTGACATAATTAACACATAATTTTAGTATTAAGTTTAATAATTTATAATTATATTTTTTTAACAATATATTAATATATATTATATTTATAATTGTAATTTTTATTAACATATTATATTATTATAAAGTGTGTCATTATATAACAATATTTTTGTAGTAAAAGTTTTTATTATATAGATTGACCTATCCCCCTTCTCAAAATATATATATAACATTGTAATCTTCACCAACTCTAGTATCATCAGTATCATATTAATCCCAGCCACTGCCAGCAAGTAAACTAAAGGAGAAAAAGAAAAGCAATCAGTATCACTGTTTTCTCTGTTATGGAGCCATCTTCTCTTAATGTGCCCTTTGTCCAAGAAATAGCAAAGGAAGCCTTGGCAAGAGTTCCTGAGCGTTATGTTCGTCCACTTCATGAGCGTCCAATAATATCCACCACCACACCTTTACCCCAAGTTCCTGTCATTGACCTAAGCAAATTGTTGTCACAAGACTTCAAGGGACCTGAGCTGGAAAATCTACACTATGCCTGCAAAGAATGGGGATTTTTTCAGGTTTGTCATCGACCTCGTATATATAACATATAATTGATAGAATGAAATAACTATATCCAGATAAGAGAAAATTTGATTAATTGTACATCTACATCATCATATTTCAATTTGATTGGAGTATCGATTAATATGTAGCATATACACATACACTTTTATTGATTAAACATATAATGTGAATTTTAATTATGAAGTGAATGATTAGCCAATAAATATACTTGGTACAGCTGATTAATCATGGAGTCAACGGTTCATTGGTGGAGAAAGTGAAGAAAGGTGCTGAAGATTTCTTTAATCTTCCAATTGAAGAGAAGAAAAAGTTTGGGCAAAGAGAAGGAGAAGGTGTGGAGGGATATGGTCAAGCATTCGTAGTCTCCGAGGAGCAGAAATTAGAGTGGGCAGATATGTTTTTCATGTTCACTTTGCCACCACACTTAAGGAAACCCTGCTTATTCCCCAAAATTCCCTTACCATTCAGGTTCGATTCTGTTTCTTTGTCTTCTATTAATTGTTTTTCTTCATTAATCTTTCAACAAAACTAGTAATTAGTGATATTACATCTATCCAATCATGTTTAAATTAATGGTTGTGATATTTCTTGATTAAAGATATTACATCCAATCAAAAAGGAAATGAATCTCAGTTTGAAATCCGAAAATTAATTCATTCATTCCTGGCGCATGTTCTAATTTTTACTCTTGGATATGTGATGTGAAATAAATATGGTTCACCAACCCACTACAACACAAATGTTATTTAGCAACATTTGAAAAATATTACTTAATTATGTATAAATGTTGCTAATTTGTTTTAACAACATATTATCAAATGTTGTATGTAGTCAATGTTGCTAAAGACTTTTAGTAACATTTTTGCATAATTAGGTAACATTTTTTAAATGTTATCAAAGTAGTATTTTTGTAACATTTTAATAATTTTTTGTAACATTTTAATGATTTTTTGTAACATTTTAATGATGTTGCCAATATTTTGTTAATCTTATAAAATAATAATTAATTTTAATTTAAATATTAATATCAATTATTATATTGATATGTCTCCTAAATTTCTAGGAATTCCTTAAGTTTTTAGGGAAAGAAAT